GCGATTCCGTTTATATCCTAGTTTCGTTAGAAATCTTCCTCGGGGAAATTTCGTTCGTTCTCGTACTCATTCTCGACGAGTGAAATCACCAGATTTGGAATGTTCTCCAAGTCAAGAAAAGATCTCCTCTGTTCGCGCAATTCGGGACATTTTCAGATATAAAGTAACTTCGAGATTTGACGGGGGTAGTTACTTTTTCTCTTAATGGCAAAGAAAATCAGTCGTTCTCAAGAGAAATTACAAATATAACAGCGAAGCACGATTGGTTGTAAAAATTTCACGATGCTCGAGGAAAGCGCTAACAAAGCGGGCGGAATTTAAAAAAAAAGAAAAAATAGTTGCCGATTCGCGGGCAACGTTCCCTGTTAACTTTTCACGGGTTGTGCTTGCAGGTTCGATTCGTACGCCGATCTGGCGTGTACAACCGTTTTACAGCCAGTTGGTCGTTTAACCATTTATTAAAAAGTCTGCTGGCCAGCCAAAGTGTTCCAGCCCGGTAAACAATTCGTTATCTGTCCGCTTGTTTAACTCTAATCTCTGGTCACTGGGAAAATGATCACGTAACACAGCCTAATATCAGCATATTTCTAACGCAACGTGACACGCAATATCAATATGGTGTTATTAAACGTTAATTTAATGTTAATTTAATGTCGGTTTCGAGCCTGTCTCTGCTCTACAATATTGAACATTGTCGCACATTTAATTTCATCAGTCGAGTTCACCTGAACCGGGTTGGAACACCAATTGGAATTGAACAAAGATTGACGAGGCAAAAGTAAAGAAAAAAAAAAAAAAAAACAAAAAAATGTAAGACAAACGTCGTTCTTTGACAGTTCAGTGTAGTATTCTGGACAAAATTTTTTTTTTTTTTATTATTCGATAAAATGTGAAGAGACGTCGACTAGAAATAACGGAACAAAGGAGACAACCGGTTCACTATTTGCGAGCTCACGAAGCCCCGAATTTACAACCGAAACGACGCAATAATACGTCTCCATAAACAAGGATTTGCACGGCAATGGAATCGTTTCAATCCTCGACAAATTCCAGAGAACCTGCTGCGACCGGAATTTATTCGATATCTTTGCAAACGAAACGTCATACGGACACCAAATTAATCTCTCGATCGTATCTTCGGATCGATGGGTATATTTTAATCGAGAGAGAGAGAGAGAGAGAGAGATCTGCAAGATCTTTCCAACAGGTACGTTTTGCGAGATAATTCAACGCGACTCGAAAACGATCGGAAAGATTTTTCGGCCCCCCCCCCCCGTTGAGCCTGAACCTCTTTGCGACGATTTATGATTTTAAGGAATCGATCAGAAGATGTTTATGATTTTAACGGATTAACGAAAGAAATCAATGAAAAATGAGTTGAACGAGAAAGTTCAATCAGAGCTACGTATTAAAAAATTTTCTAACGAGTCTGCCTCTTCGTTACTTTCAACTGTTTCAGAATGAAACGTTAATGAAAGGACGAATAAATGAAACAGAGAAGACAGAATTGGATGTATCTATTTCGGAGGACAGAACGGAATTTAAAAAAAAAAAAAAAAAAAAAAAA